GTTGTTTGCAGGATTCGGTTCCTCATAGGCTTTTGGACTGAAGGCCTTAGTTACTTGCTGGCAGTTGGGTCCTCCCTCAATTTCTGGCTACCTGGGCTTCTGCTTAGAGCAGCTGACAACACGGCAGCTTGTTTTACTCCAGTAAGCAAGGAAGAAGAGGCAGAGAGTGAGCATGAGCAAGACCAAAGCCATGGTCTTTTGTGATCTAATCTCTAAAATGGCATCCCATCGCTTTTGCCATAGTCTGTTCATTAGAAGCAGGTCACTAGGCTCAGTGTACACATAAGGGAAGGGATTACACATGGGTATGAATACCAGGAGATGGGGATCGCTGTGCACCCTACTGGAAGGTGACTGCAGATGAGCATTTATCAAGGCAAACTTGGGATGGAGGAAGAGGAGAGGCAAATTCATGGAAGAGGAAGTCAAATGAGCTAGCCTTGAAAGTGTGAAAGGCTTGATTGGAGAATTTCAAATATTTGACTGGGACGCAGGGTGCAGGAGTAGAATGAAGAGTGGTGACGGTGGTGGTCATAGTAGTGATGACAGAAAAGGATCTGAGAAAGATAGGTAAGAGACAGTTTCAATGAATATAAAGTTACAGTTATGAAAGCATAATAAGTTCTTGAGATCTGCTGTACAACGTAGTGCCTGTAGTTAACAATACGGTATTGTGTACTTAAAAATTTATTAAGAGGGCAAATCTCATGTTAAGTGTTCTTACCACAAAACAGAACAAACATAACAAAACCAAAAAACAAAAAACCACCCATAGGGACATAAGGAAACATTTGGAGGTGATGGATATTTGTTATTATGATTGTGGTAATGGTGTCATCGATGTATGCTTATGTCTAAATTCATCAAATTATACATATTAAATATGTACCATATTTTGTGTATTGGTTATACCTCAATAAGGCTATTAAAAAAGGATACAGGTAATGAAGGGCTTTGTTTAGAGAAATAGAGAAAAGTAAACTTTATACCAAGGGCCTGGAGAATTATAAAGCAGTTTTAAAGAGAGGCATGATCACACATTTACCATTGAACGATTACTCTTATGGCAGTGTTGTTGAAGAAGTCATTTATCTTGCTAACAGTTGATCCCATTAGACCCTCATAACCAACATGCCTGTCAGCTTTTCTGGCCTATGGAAGCGATGAGATTCAGGGCTATACAATGAGTCATTAATAATTTTTCACGTGGTTATGGGGCCGTGTGTGTTGTGTAAGTTGTGAAATGGCAAAAGAGTAGGCAATTGATCTCTTTTTTTTTGGATCAATTTCAAGAAAACTGGGAAAACTTAGATCAGAAGCAGTTGTTCGTTTGTCCCTTAGTGGAATAAAATTTAATTAGCTTTTATAGATTGTTTACTTTAGTCCCACTGAATGAGAGCCACCCCACTGTCTCTTTCTTGAAACCTTACTGTTCTATAGTTGGAAAGTTTTAAAAATATATATGCAGGTGATCATCTAGAGCTTTAGAATGCTTTTTGAAATAGAAGACAATAAAGCAATCATGCCTCTGTTCCTTAATTGTAATGTGAGGGTCTTGATCATGGTGGTCTATGAGGCCCCACAAAATTCCACATGCTGAAATTTTCTGTAATAGCTATAATTGCTTAGAAATCTGCTTATTTTATGCCTAAAGATTAATTTTAGGGCAGGGTATATTCTTCCCATTTCAGCCTGACATTCTTTGATTTTTTTGGGTTATAACATTTTATAAAAAGGCCTTTCTTCTATTATTGTGGAAAAAGGCTTTTCTTATTGTACTATTACAAAATATTTAGAAAAGCAGTTGCTAAGATAACATCGGAACTTGTGAAATGCTTTTACTTCTCACTATACTGCTGACAGGCTGAACTCCTTTTTTCTTGTCCAGCAGAGACATTGTCACTTCCAACAGAGAATATATAATGCATGAAAAGACGGACGGCTCAGAGTGATAAGGCACAAGTGGAGGGTGTGTTCCACCTTTGTCAGTCAGCTGGGAAGTAAAAAGAGCCATTCTTGCACCTGAGTTTGCCCAGTCATCCTGCCCCACCTGCCTCTCTTGGAGCAGAGCAATGCCCTATCTATGCACTGTGGGAGCTAATTCAAACACATTTCTTTTGAATCGGGATGAGGTCTCTGTAGTTAGATAAAGGGGCTCTCTATTTGCCACCACCCAGAGAAAGTTCTTGAGCTTGACATCATGTGAAGATGGCAAAAGAATTTGTAGGAAATGACTGGATGAGAACTAGATATTATTTGCTGTACACATTTGCAAAAGGGAAATGTGAGATTCTGTGATCTCTGCAGGTCCTCCTCATTAAAGATGCGGTGAGATCCTCTCCTTAGTACAAAAGGTATATTTTGGGAGCTTCAAATATATTTTTAATAATTTATTTTAAGCTGGGTTAATACATAGATGTTCATTATATTGTTTATGATTTTTTATGAAAAAAGCATAGTAAAATTTTTAAACAACTTTGAGATATAATCAACATACAATAAACACATATTTAAAGTAGGCAATTTGATAAGTTTTGACATATGTATATACCTGGCAAGTCATTACTGCAGTTAAGAAAATGAACATATCTGGCAAGCCCCAAATTTTCTTCATGCTCCTTTGTAATCTCTCTCTTCTGTTTCTCCATAAGCTGCTAACTTGCTGAAACCATGGATTTCCTTTCTGCTACTATAGATTAGGTTGCATTTTCCAGAATTTTATGTAAGTGGAATCATACAGTATGTACCCTATGTTGGCTGGCTCCTTTCACTCAGCGTATTTTGAGATCCATCAATAATGTTGAATGTAACAATCGTTTATTCCTTTTCATTGGTGGGTAGTACTCCATTGTAGGGATATGCCACTATTTATTTATTTGTTCACCTGCTGATGAACATTGGAGTTGCTTCACAGTTTTACTTATCATAAATAAAGCTGCTGGGAACATTCTTATACAGTGGTTTTGTGTGTGTGTGTGTGTGTGTGTATATATGTGTGCGTGTGTGTGAATACATTCTCTCATTTCTTTTGGACAAAGACCAACAAACAGAATGGCTAGATTATACAGTAGTTTTATATTTAGGTTTTTAAGAAACAATAAAACTATTTCTTAGTGTAGCTGTACCATTTTGCATTCCCACCAACGGGACTGAGAGTTCCAGTTCCTCCACATTCCCTCCAATGCTTGATACAGTCAGTGTTTATAGTTTTAGCCACCCTAATAGGTATGTGGTCATATCTGATTTTTAACTTACATTTTTCAATGAGTAATAATGTTGAGCACCCTTTCATGTGTATATTTGCTCTCTGTATGTTTTCTCTGTAAATTTTGTGTTCATTCTTTTGTCCACTTAAAAAATTGGGCTGTTTGTTTGCTTATTATTTGGTTTTGACAGTTCTTTATGTATTCTAGATAGAAGTCTTTATCAGGGATGTTCTGTAAAAATTTCCTTCCAGTTAATGACTTGTCTTTCCATTCTCTTAGGAGTGTCTTTTTTTTTTGAATTTTTTAAAAAAGTTTATATTTTTAAAATTATTTATTTTTTTTAGGAGTGTCTTCTAATAGTAGAAGTTTTAAATTTGATGTCTAATTTATCATTTTGTTCTTTTATTGATTATGCTTTCGGTGTTGCATCAAAGAAATTTTTGATTAACCCAAGGTCTCAGGGATTTTTTTTCTCACTTATTTTCTAAAAGTTTTATAATTTTTAGGCTTTGCATTGAGATATATGATCCATTTTGAATTGCTTTTTGGCCTTTTGACTAAGATCAAGTATAATTCATTTTGAGTTAATTTTTTAATATCATATGAAGTATAGTTACAAGAGCATTTTTTTGCATAGGGATATCCAATTGTTCTTGCACTATTTCTTGAAAAATTTATCTTTTGCCATACATATTTCATTTTTTTTCTCCCCACCCGAGGCTTGTCTTTTTTTTCTAACATTGTCTTTTGTAGTACAATAGTTTTCAATTTGACATAGTCATATTTATAAATTTTATCATTCATAATTAGTAATTTGGGGGCTGTATTTAAAAAAACCTTTGCTGCTTAAAAATCTCTTGGCTAGAATTGGATCTCCAACCTTTAGTTATCTATTATATGATAATCAAACATGCAAATATGGATGAAATATTTTTAGCATATGGAATATACTAATATTGTGAAGATAATGCATTATTTCAGAAACTATAGAGGTGCCAGGGGAGTTGCAAGTGGCAAATTAGGAACAGAAGAAATTACAAAACTTTATTGGGAAAGAAATTGCCAAATGTACCTCTAACTATTTTCGAGAACAGAAGGCTGATATTGGTGGAGAGGAGATGAGGCTTAGCAGCAGGTGAAAATTCATGATGATGACAGCTGATGTTAATATGCTGGGGAGTAGGTGGTGTGTATACTTGGATTTAAAGTGAAAGATCAACCATAGAGTATAACTGTCCATCATCTCATTCCGTGAACAATTACTAGAAATTATTTGGGCGCAGAAAATAAGTTACTCATGTTCCTTGTCTGACACTCAGAAAAAAACTATCTTGTGATTTGTGTGACAATTTGCCTTTCTTCCTCTTACATGCAAGGGACTGTCCTTGGTCAGTATCTTTTCCTGTTCCAAATCTCCACCACTCTCCTTGGTCTGGGTGGTCAACTAGCACAGCTCCTTGGTTCCAACAACTGCCTTACATTTTACCTCATTTAGGTCACTGGATGTGTCTAGTTCCCTGTACCTAAATATGTATGTCTATATGCAGCTATCTCCTCCACCTTTTGCTCCAGCTTCAGACAAAAAAGGAATGATACATACCCCTTCTCCTTAAATCCAAGATGATCTTCCTTTTTAGTCATTCTGTTTCTCATAACCTTATTGCTGCCTTTCTGTTGCCTTTATTATTTCTTGTGGTAAATAAATATGTTCATGACTCTCTTGTCCTTAAAAACGTCCTGCATGGGACCCCGAAACGTCCTCCCCCGCTTTTTGATCTTCCTCTTTTATCCACATTTTTTTTTTTAAAGAATATACTGTTTATTAAAACAAAGCAAGGGAAACAAAAGGTTTCAAAATCCTTTCCACTGAACATAGCTTTAGTCGAGAAAACAAAATATGCGAATGCAAGGACTATGAACAGGTAGGAAGAGTCTACGTTCACCAGCCGAAATGCAACTCGAATTGAAGTGGAAACTAAAGAAATGCTTTGTAGTTGCCTGGATTTCCCTAGGGGATGGCAAGTCAGTGCTTATCAGCAGTCCTCAGAAGAGACAATTCTGATTAGTATCAGACCCATCTGACTCAGGCTATTAAACCCTGAAGGAAGGATATTCTGCAGATATAAAAGATATGCCTTTGATTAATAATTCTACCCTATCGCCATTCCAAGCATCAACTACTAGGTAACACCTCCAGAAAGACAGCGCCTTTGAATCTAGGAAGACACACTTACTGACACACCTAGGTGTCCCACCACCTCTTCTCAGCTCTCCCCGCCGAGACACAACCCAAGGTGTAAGGGGGTCACCACTGGAGAAGCAGAAACCCAGTCACATCATTTACTTCACGTCCACAGTGAGGGTCGGTTACTGACATCATCATTCCTGCTGGATGGTAATGGAATCTTCACACCACTGACGGAGGCCTGGAGACAGGGGGTGACTGGTCCTACACTACACGGCTGGCGGATGCCCTGGGCCTGACGGTCTACACCGCAGCCACTCTCTCCATTGCCTACCACTGGGCTGTGAGATACACACGGGAGGAAATTGCTTAGTCCACCATAAAGAGCTTCTGTGCTGTGTAGTGAATGTGGGATTGGCACACAGGGGTGGGAGGAAATGGATTCCATTTGGCTCTTCACCTGCAAGCTTCTGCCCAATCAGCACTCTCTCCTCACATGGATGCGTTTCTCCGGATGCTCTGGACCAGCCTTCTGCCATACTCTCTGTAGTCCACAGGCTTCACATCCATCACAGTGGCCTTAATTCGAGACTCGTCATTGTAGGTCTCTACTTTGACCCTGACTTTGAATATGAAGGATCGGAAGTTGGCATTCTGAAAAACTTCTTCAAACGCCTGTTCATTCTTGTCTTTTAATTCTCCAAGATAGGCAGCATTTTGTCCAAGGATAGCTTCAGCAGACTCCTGGAAACAAGTCACCCACTGATTCTCTTGAAAATCTGCAATATTTACCGACAGGATCATGCGGTACTTGAAATTGGGGAATTCAGTGTCGCACTTCTCACAGCGGTATAAGCCATTCTGCTGATCAATCACTTTCTTATTGCAGTCCTGAGTCGGGCAGGCCTGGTACATGCAGTTCTCTTTGCGAAGATACACCACTGTGGCCACGGAGCTAAAGTAGTCCGGCTTGTCGCCTTGGCCCAGGTTCTCTGATTTGACCTCATACAAGGTTTTCCAGTTGGTGTTACTCCCTCCAAGTCCACCGCTCTTTAGGTCAGAGATGGAAACGCCATCTAAGGCTTGTCCTTCTGAGTCAAACCATCCACGAAGCTTATAGGCCTCTGGGATGTCAGGATTGACGATGATTGTGCTGGAAGACAGCACGGAGAGGCTCCGTCCACCAAAATCAGAGACTCTGGCTCCTTTGATAGCCAGCACAGGCTGTCTGGAACCATCAAATTTATCAGCATCTTCCCCCCACAGCGTAGCAGTCACCACCTTCCCCGATGTGTCCATCAAGTAGATATTCCTCTTAGCAACCTCTCTGTTGTTAGACCTCACTGTGATTTTAGTGGCATCTTCATAGCTCTTGCAGATCCCAATTATGTCAACAAGTGAGTCTTTAGACTTGTTCTCTAGGTTATCAATCCCTGTGAAATCAAACTGAACGGTAGGCAAGTGACGATCATCTTCACAGGGCATGACAGAAGTCTCATTATTAAAGGTCATCTCATAGTCATTTTTAACAGCTGTGAATTGTTTGTTAGCAATCTTCAGGGTGCCTTTTGAGAAATAATATACCTTGTTCACTTCAATGAGGGGAAAGAACTTGTCCACTTGCTCATTGAAAGCTGTAGCTCTGATTTCACCACTTTCATCAACTAGCTCCAGAGAGAACAGCTTCCCTTCCCCTCGGGAGTTGCTCCAGGTACGGATCTGACTTTTGTTGGTGACACGAGCACAAATCGTCCACTTGGACTGGTAAGGGGTGAGGCTGGCAATGGGCACCACTTTGGCCTGTGTTCCCCCGGAAGTGCCGGACAGGCTGGGACCTCCAACTTTTCCAAATGTCTTTGACGCACCATAAGCCTTAGGAACAGTGGAACCCACTCCAGAGCTTCCATTCTGTGGCTGGGGCTTGCTGCTCGCTGGGCTGGCAGCTGGAACTGGAGGAGGAGCTACCTGCTGCTGCCCATGTCCTTCATTGTAGGGCACTGGATTGCCAATCTTTACTCCAACTGCTTCGGCTGATTTCAAAACTTCTAATTCCATCAAAATAACTACTCTCCTTCCGTCTTTCAGGGTGTTCACAATGAATCGGTTAATCTGGCAAACGCAGTTGCTGGCCAATTGTCCTTGCTCAACAAGAGTGTTCAACTGTGTGGCCAACATGAAAGATGACAGAGTGTTCACTCCATCACTCATGAGCAGTCGATAACGTGGCGGACTGTTCCCTGTGGTGATGGGACGGATGTTGATGACTTGGAGGATGGGTTTGATGAATGTATCCTGCTGCTGCATTATGACCGCAATGGCCCCCTCGCTCAGTTGGCCGACCATGGCTCCGCCGCACTGGCTCCCTCGCGGACCCCACGGCAGCCCGAGCTTCCCACCGCCCCGGGTCCCGCGCGCTGCGCAGTTATTGGCCCGAGCTATCCACATTTTTTTTTTTTTCAAATAGTAATAATGCTATTCCCACTTCTACTATTCCAGCTTTCTCCTCAATCCACTGGATCCTAGCAGAGGATGCCTTCATCATTCTATTGAGATTCCTTTCCCTCAATCCAATAGCTCTTTAACTGCCATATCTTTTTTCAATGGACATTTTTCAAGTCTATTTTACTTATCAGTTGAATTTACTTATTTTTTTAAACTCTACATCCTTGGATGCCATGAAATTTTACTTTCTTGGTTCTTCTGCTTCTCAGACTATTTCTTTATTGTCTATATGCTCAATGAATTTGCTTTTTTGGGGTAAAATATTAAGTGACTAATCTAAATGAATGATAAGTATTATATGCACACTGGAGGTATGTCTTATTTCTTGTCAAGCTTTTAAGTTGGGTCCGCAAATGAAAATCTTACTGTTAACTTCTGTTTTTTATTTGAGTATTTCAAATGTTTTAATTTTATTCAATTAACTTTTTACTTACATAAGGTTAGTAGAGAAAGTATCCTTTTGGATCTGTTTACCTGTTCTTTTTTTGCACAAATCTGAACATTCATTAAATCTGTACATGAAAACAGCTGAATCCAGAGTATTTAATTCACAGGACAGGAATATAGAGTGCTGTTCTTTAAAAATTAGGCAAACCTTAGAAATCTATAAATGAGAATTGAAATTTGGAGCCTAGAGGTAGAAAATGTAATTAAAGAGAATACAGAAGCTCTAAGATTTTCTTCTTTTTCTGGGTAGAAGTAAAAAAAAAAAAAAAAAAAAAAAAAAGGCCAAATCTTATTTGACTTTTTCTCTACCAGATAAAAATGCAATACAAAGGCTTAGAAATACAAAGCTGCTTTTGACTTTTACGTGTATTATTGGTATACTATATAGTAATCCTTGTTGAAGTCAGAAATGTAGTGTGCAGGCATGGAGTTTAGGATAAATTATTTATACATATGATTTTATTGTCATATTTAGAACAGCGAGAAAACATTAAATGTGAACATATTTTTCTGTCCATCAATATTACCTTCTTACTGTAAGTAATTAATCTCTTAAAAGTCTTGTCTGATTTAAACCACTTTGGGATATTTTTAAAAGTGTCAATGGTTATTTCATTTGGTCAAAAATTTCAAATATATACTTTTGCTTGAGAAAACTATTTAAATGGCATGAAAACAGATCCATGAAGGCTTATGTAGGATAAGACAATATCATTTATATTTATTCTTTATTTTATCACAAGAGATTTTGTTTTCTTTTGCTTGCTCACATGAAATATAGCTGGTTTTTCCCCCATAAACAGAGCTAGCCTTCAAAAAGAGAGTGGCAGTGTGCCTGACTAATGACAGTTTAAAGCCTCTGATGCACAGGGATCAAATTAAATAAGGCTTCTGTGTTGTCAGATTTAGAATCTACTGATGCACCGACATTTATTCATCCGCTTTTTATTTAGCTTTGAAGGCTCGCAGGTCAGTTGCATCTGATTACTCTGGACTCCTTCCAGAAGTAGCTGAGGCCAAAGGAACAGGCACAGTTACAAGTCCACCAGGTGGCAGTCTTTGACGGAAGAACTTTTATGTGCAACCACTGGTTGCTATCCTCTCCCCCTCTCCATTTTTCTTTCTATATTTTTGTCTCTCATTCCCAAAAAACATTTCATTTTTCTTTATGAATGTATTTAGTATTTATTTATTTACTTTCTGTCATGACCTTCTTTCCTTCTCTGGAATAATGAGAGGAGTTTCAGAACACAATTGTAGCAGGAGGGACTATTCCCCTTAGTAAAAGTACATATATTACATAAAAGGTGACCAAATTAAAAAAAAAGAATCAAACGCTAACCTCCCACCCTGCAAAAGGAAACTACATAAAATAACAGAGACCAAATGTATTTATAGTCTATCTTGTATGCCCTAAAAAAATCCATCCTGCCTTTTTTCCTAGAAAAAAGTGGTTATGAACTGACTACATTTGCTTCACTAGTCAACAAGGGATTGTTCCCTGATTTCTGGAGCAGACAGCTCAGACAAATTTGAAAACCTGCTCATGTCCACTACGCTTTTAACCTTGGAAGGATTATTTATCGATAGGGCATTAGGATGAAGAGAGAGGCTGGTCAGCTCTTCCAGGACTGTATGGACCCTGCACAGCAGGTGGATGAGTTGCATAAATCAGTTAACACAGGTTTAACTAAACCACCAGGCTAGGTGTAGGTAAGACAGAGTTGACTGAGTCAGATTGTTTTGTTCAATCCTCACAACTGTGCTTTAAATTACAAATGATGAAGCTAAGAATTATGGGAGCCTGCAACTTGCCAAGCTATCTGACTATCATCATCAGAGAAAAGACTCAGGCCTAGATCTATTTCATGCCAAGACACTAAAGGCTGTCTAGGTTGCCTCCATTTAATTATGCCAGACTTTTCTTCAAATTCCTTTCCTTTCCTCCATATTGAGTCCATTCTCCACATTGCCCATCTCATTTCCTTATTCTTATATCTAAATTTCTTATCCTCCGGACCTTGACCAGATTCTCATCTTACCATGGGACACTTCCCCAGATATTCTTAATTTCAAAGTTGTTTGACTTTTCATTCCTTTGATTATTGGTGAGATGAACACCTTAAAAGGAATCCTAGCTTACTTGTTTTATGAGTAGCCTGTTCATGACCTCTACCTATTCATTTCCTTGTTGGAGAGTCCTTTTTTCTTCATTAATCTCTATAGGTTTTAAAAAAATATCTTAAGTACATGGCTACCTTGTCATATATGTTTCAAATATTTTTAAAAATATTTTTTCCTTTGCCTTTTTCAGTTTGCTTATGGAAACGTCTATGTAGAACATTTTATGCTTTATACATTTGAATCTGGTAGTTATTTCTGTGATGATTCCTAGCTTTGTTATGTTGTTTATACAAATGTCTTTATCTCAAAATTGCAAAAAATATTTTCCTTTATTTTCTGCTAAGATTTTTTTTTTTTTGGTCTTTATTGTTTACTTTGAAATCTTTCAGGCCAAGTGTGATAGCTCACACCTTTAATACCAGCACTTTGGGAGGTGGATGCAGGAGGATTGTTTGAGCCCAAATTTTCAAGACCAGCTCGGACAACAAAGATTTAAGGTTCATTCTCAGAGGTCTAAGAAGGATAAAACTTTCATTATATTTTTATCCTTATTTTTCTTCGCAAACATTTAAAATGTAGGACAAAGGTAAACTTAATGCACTTCCAGACTGAATTATGAAAAAATAAGAGTATCAGACTCAATATATAGCCTAATATAAGGAATATAATATAAACACAAATACAAATTTACAAATATGTCTATATGTATCTTCCAGACTCAATGCACTAAGATATGCTTCACTCATTTCCATGAAATATCTAGGTATAATAACTTTTAAACTCTACCTATCCATTTTTACTTGCTTTTTCTTAAAGGATAATGAGTGGATACTGACATTACTCACTGACCTTCCTGCTTCTCTCGTTCTTGTGACAATGGCCTAGATTTCCTAGTGTTTGGGATGCAATGTGTTGCTTTGAATTCTGCCCAGGCTCATTCTCCTAAACTAATCTCACGCATTTCAGGCTCATTAACTCTATACTCTAACAAGTCAAATTCATTTGAGTTACATTTGTTAATTTACTCTGTTAGGAAATTACTCACAATGTATGTGGCTATGAGCTAGTAGTCTGTGGGAAAGATCACTGTTTATTATCTGAGAGTCATTTTACCAAGGGGGAAATTTTGACTTCATCAATTTTACCCATAATACCAGAATATCAGCTTTCTATACCTTCTGCATCCAGAAACAACTTTTCAACAAAATAAAATTATCAAAGCAGTAGAGAAAACTAGCTTACCCAGGGGACCTAGTATTAAGATACAGATATTACAGCATGTAAATTATGAAATGATTGTTTTAAACAAAAGCAGCCATCAAGTGGACATCTCTTTTGATTCAAACAGAATTATTTTCAAACTTTGCAGTCTACAAATTGTACTCATGTTTTAAGAATCAGATACTTAACCAAAAAGCTGAAACATACATAAAATAAAAGAACATTTTAAGACTGCTTTAAGAAATCATGTCTTTGTTGGAGTAAGTTTTGAAAGTGGCTTGGTTTTTGTTTTAAGACCAATACCTAAATTTATTTTAAAATCTGGCCTCATATAGGATTTGATTTCTGACCTGGTGGGTAATTTTGAGCATGACCTGAGATCATATAGACTGTTTTGAACTATAGAATCTGGCTGCTTTCTCTTAGCTTTCAAAGAAGAGTATTTTTCTCTGTTTGCCTCTTTCTCTCTCTTTCTCTTTTTCACTTAAACACATATACACCCCACCTCAGAACTGCCTTGGATTTTTTGCAATACACACTCAAACTGGAGAAAATCAGACTTCTTTTAGTTTTCAGCAATGTCCAAGGGGAAGACAAAGATACATAGTAGATAAAGGCACTCAGCTTAAACTTTGAACCTTGGGCAACTGTAGCTGAGTACTGAGCTTTCTCTGTGAGTACTTAAAAATCTTGTGACACATCAAAGAGCCAATATTTCTGTCTGCAAGCATGGGAAATGGAACAATATGAATTCAGGGATTCACTGAATTAGAGAAAATTGTAGATTCAGGAAGGGGGAAAATAGGATGATCTGAACCAGGATAGAATTATTTCCAAAATCTATGAAAAATCCTCAAGTAAATATTTTCCCTGTTTTTAAAGAAAGGAGTCAGTAGAAGCTAATATTAAAATCACATTGTATATTACATACAGTTCATTGTGTATATAATTGTACTTTGGTAAGTTGTCAAATTTAATCCGTTGTGTGGAATCACTTAATGCCTTATATGTTTTTTTGCTACTATGAAATTCCTAGTAGAATAATTTCTTCCTATATTGAAGATAAATGGCAGAACATGATATCTTCCTATTTTGAAGATAAATGGCAGAATATTTACAGTATTACTGAAAATACTG